CTTCTGTTCACTCACTTTGCATTTTGTAAATTGATAAATATAAAGAATTACAATATATATTTTTGAAAGCATTCTTACTTTACAGCATTTTTTCACACCTGCCTAAAACTTTTGCACAGTACTATAAATAAATAAAGTGCATCTGTTAGGAAAACAATTGAAGATGTTGGATATAATAGAATGAATGGAACAATGAGAAACAGCACTTTTCCAAAGACAAGCATATAACTACTACTACTAAATATAAAACTATATTATCAATCAATAGGTTGCACCAGATTTTTTTCATTAGTAAAGAATGACCCTGTAAAGCTCTTACTCTCATTCAATAATAGGTAGCAACTTCCAAATTTACTATCACATCCACTATGTCTTTCTGAAACTGAAGTTGTTAATGCAAGTTTTGCCATCTGGATTCTACATTAAGTACTTATTTCAAACTCAGAAAGATATTAAATACTGTACAAACAGTTACAGGAAGATAGTTTTCCAATGCCCGTAATAAAAAGGATTACCTAACTAAAACACCTCTTTTGCCACCATATTATGAAGAAATTAAAAAAGCAAATATGCTTTCTTCTTCAATATAAAAAATGGAATTATGGATACCATTATTCAAGTTAAGCTTAAAAGAATTTACAAATATAAACAATATTATGTCATAACTCTATAATTTAAATTTAGTTTATAGCTGCATGAAGCATCAATACTGTGAACACATATTCTAGAAGTTTGGGGTATCAATATCATATTAATCTGTATCAGATGTATTAAATATGTATCAATATCATATTAATGATACACAGTTTTCCCTTGCATTTCTACCATCTGATCTAGAAGAAACAGCATGAATCCTGAATAGATGTCCTGAATATGTCTTGACACAGATGAAGATAAAAAAGCTTAATCTAGAAAATAGTACACAGTAACAACCATCTGTATGGGAGGGTATCAAAATCAGCAAGATGGTAGACAGGGTATGGCATTGCCACTTTTGAGCCCGTGTCACTGATGCATGTGCAAAATGAGTGGGATTTGTACTGTGATGTTCAAATCTTGCCAGTTCTGACCCTCACCTGCAGATGCTGTTGATAGTACAAGTAGTTGTGGGTTCTGCCAAGAGGTACAGGTAGCCCTTGACTTATGATGGTAATTGGGACCGGAATTTCCATCGTTAAGCGATGAGGCCATAAAGCATGACATCATGTGACCATATTGCTTAGTGACGGCAATCCCAGCACTCCCCGTTGCTGTTGTTAACCAAATCTGACCAGTCATTAGCCAAGGACCCACCCCCATCGAAGCCACTCCAGGCTTAGTCCCTCCCAGCCCCGAGCCTCAGTAAGGGAAGGGACTGCCTCCTCTTCAACATCCCCCCACATGCCTATCTCCCCTCCAACTCTGCCCTTTTGGCTACCCTGCACACTGCCTTGAAGGGTGGCAGCCAGCTCCAGAACCGTGTGGCTCTAGGGCTGCTTGCCGTGCTGTGGCTCAGGGGCTTCTTGGCATGCCACAGCTCTTGGGCTGCAAGAAGCCCCTGAGCTGCAGCATGAAGCCACAGCCACCCCTGGAAGCCTCAGCCAGCCCTGGAAGCCTCAGCCAGCCCAGCCCAGCAGTGCGGTGCAAAACAGCAGCGCCCAGAAAGCCCCAGCCCTGGCCATGGTCCTTTGCGAGGAAGGGACAGGAAGCCCCAGCCCTGCCCTAGCCCTTTGCAAAGCAGCTGCTGGCCACATGAGGCCATCTTCCCCAGGTCAGCCCTGCCCTGGCCCTTTGCGAGGCAGCTGCTGGCCACATGAGGCCATCTTCCCCAGTCTCGCGAGGAAACCGCCGTGCGCAACCTTGGGAAGAAAATCTTGTGCAGCCAGCAGCTGCCTTGCAAAGGGCCAGGCCAGGCATGCTTGGTCAGCAGCAGGAGGAAGAAGGCAGCAAAGGTCAGCTGAGCAGAGCACAGGGTGGTGGGGGCTTTGGAGTGCAGGGTGGCAAGGGTGACTGCAGCTTTCTGGGGTGCTGCAGCTTTGCACTGCACTGCTGGTGCTTCAGATCAGCTAGGGCGGCAGGGGCCGTGGAGTGCAGGGGGCCAAAAGGGCATGAATGGGGGGGAGATAGGTGGGTGGGGGGAGCTGAAGGACCCCCTGAGGTTATATGTGTGGGTGGGCTGCCAAGCATCCAAAATTTGATCACATGACGGTGGGGGCGCTGCAATGGCCATAACTTCGAGGACTGGTTGTAAGCCCCTTTGTTCAGCACCACCATAACTTCGAACGGTCACTGAACGAACGGTCCTAAGTCAAGGACTACCTGCATACAATCTCACTTAGTTGAAATGTGCTCCATCTAGGAACTTATTCTGAGGTGCTTATGCAATTAGCATTATCCTGAATACTGGATATTGTTATCAGCTATAAAGCAAGGTACTTTTTGAAAGATGGATTCCTCTGGCTTTAAATATCCTTGGGATCTATTCATTCACGAAGAAGAATGTTTCTTGAAATAGAAACTAAGCATTTGGCCAGAGAGCATATGAGCAATATACTTATCCTACTACTCAAGTCAGAGCCCCTGTATCTTCTCAAGAGGTCATCCATGCATGTCATATTAAATTTCATTTTCAACAGGAATCAGAAATATTTTCATGCCACTCACTTATTTATAAAAATTATTTCTGTATCTAAACTACAAGTATTTGCAGATAACACAAAACTGAATACAGATGCACACAACAACTGAAAAGTTATAGGAGAATTTTGCTTCCTTCAAACTAGCAAAATGTGTAGGAATTCTCGTTTACAACCCCAGCTGGAGCAATAATACATTATAAGAGGAAAACATGTTTGGAAAATGCCACAGTATCTTGGTATAAATTATCATTTGAATCTCTGGCAATTTTAAAATACTATTTTAAGACCATTTTTATATAATTAGTTTACAGACCTACCCAACTCACAATTGTAACTCTGGGCACTTAACATTGGATTAAACATTGGATTAAAGGAAACAGAAATATCCCCAACTGAAATTTAAAAAAAAAAAACATATCTGAAGCTAATCACAATCATTCTTTCAACCTTCATAGAATGGACTCATCTAACTTCCTGACCAAAGAAGGGGATACTATCTAAAGCAAAAAATGTTATTGCAAAAAAAATGGAACAAGATAGAGAAGCTACATTTCAAAATCTTCGCAGCAATAATCAGCTTAAGCAATGGGTAGGGTGGGAAAAATAAGGGTGCATTGCTTGTACAGTTATACTACAAATAGTCTTTCTTTAATTACCACAATTGGGACTGGAATTTAGGTCGCTAAGCGATGTGGTCGTTAGGTGGATTATCACGTGACTGCTTAGCTTAGCAACTGCAATCCTGGCACCCCCCGGCTGCCCTTGTTAAGCGAGAATTACTGGTCATTAAGCAAAGTTCCAGGTAAGGAGCACAGGGGTGCCTCAGGGGGTCGGGGAGGCCCTGGGATGCCTGGCGCAGGCCACTCATGAGTTGGGGGGGTTACTTCAGTGTGGCACAAAGCCGTAGCTGCCCCTGGAAGATTCAGCTGCCCCAGCCTGGCCCAGCAGCACTTACAACTGCAGGGGAGCTTTAACTCCCCCTACCTGCCTATCTCCTTCACCATCTATGACCTTTTGACCATCCTGCACAGCAGCACTCATCAGCGGCAGCAACAAGGCTGGGGCTGAAGTAGAGGCCCGAAACCTTCAGCAGTTTCAGTCAGCTCCCAGGCCTCGACTCCAGCCCCACTGCCACTGCTGCCACTGAGAAATGCCACCCCAAGCCCCACACTGCTGGCCTTCACTGCCTTGCACCATTCCCCAAGCTGCGCCTCTCATTCCTTCTGTAAGCTGCGCATCCCATGCCTTCCCTAAGCTGCACCTCTTGTTCTTTTTGCAAGCCGTGCATCCCATACCTTCTACAAGCCGCATGTCCTGTTCCTTCCCCAAGCCATGTCTCTTGTTCCTTTTGCAAGCCAGCGTTCCATTCTCATGAGACCTGGGGAAGACCAGAAGGTTTCCGAAGAATCGCAGGAATGGGACGTGCAGCTTGCAGAAGGAATGAGAGGCACAGCTTGGGGAAGGTATGGGACATGCGGCTTGGGGAAGGAATGGGATGCCAGCTTGGGGAAGGAACGAGAGGTACAGTTTGGGGAACAGTGCAAGACAGCGAAGGCCAGAGGTGTGGGGCTCGAGGCGGCATTTCTCAGTGGCAGCAGCGGTGCTGGGGCTGAAGTCGAGGCTGGAAGTTGCAGCGCTCCTGTGGTTAAGTGCAGGTGGGCTGCCCAGTGCTTGAATTTTGATCACATGACCGTGGGAGTGCTGCAACAGCCGTAACTTTGGACATGGGTTGTAAGTCTGTTTTTCAGCACCGTTGTCATTTTGAACAGTCACTGAATGAATGGTCATTAAGTGAGGACTACCTGTATAGATGTTTTTATTTACTTACTTTATTTTTACTTCTAGAATATAGAAAAGTCAAGTATACCTCAACTATAAAACAGAACATTTTATTTTTACATGAAGGTTTGATCTTGTGAAAAAAGGCATTTCCACTAATGCAAGTTAGAGATTTTTTACTGGTATTTCTCTTTTTGCTTTAGTCCTTTTTACCACATTATCACCCTCTTCTAAAATGTCTTGAAGAATGGACTGACAGGGAAGAAAGGAGCAATTTGGGAATACCTAAGTCAAGGTTATGAAGGAACCATCCCCCCAGTGTGTACTTTATACATACAAGACAGACACAAACTCTTGCTTCTATCGAATGGATGTCAAAGTACTTGCTATTAACTGGGTTACCAGATAAGTGATAGACTTTGATTTTATTTAAGCAATCCTTTAAGCAATTCTGTGATAACTTCAAATGTAATTCATATGTAATGAAAGTTCATTCATATGAACTTCAAAATTATTAAAGTATAAGATAAGTATCAAAGTTCATATGTAAACAAGAGCAACAACGAAGATATAAAGATACATAACTGATCGCTATATATACATAACAAAATACTTACTGACTGTCTGCTGTTTTCATCATCATCTTCATCATAACCATCCTCTTCTCCTTCCATTTTACTGAAGTCATCTTCTCCATAGCTTTCTGACACCAAACCTCCTTTCTCTTCTAGGCCATCCAAAGAAGCAAGAAAATGGTTAAACATTCCTTTTGCAGCCCAGTGAAAATACATGCAGAAGATTGATACTGATGTACAAGTCCAATATATAAATACACATGTTGCAATAAATAAAACTATGTTAAACAAGTGCACATGTTGCAATAAATAAAACTATTATGCTAAACAAGAAAAATATGAATGATCTTTTACCTAAGTAACTTTTCTTCAGCCCCTCCAGCGTATGTTCTTCCTTGCTAACTGTTCAATAGAATACCAGGCATTTGACTTACTATGTTTTGCATATACAGTGGTGCTTAAAGATTTGTGAACCTGTTTGAATTTTCAATATTTCTGTAAATATGACTTAACATGTGATCTGTCCCCAACACAAGTCCTAAAACTAGATAAAGAGAACCTGATTAAACAAATGCGCCAAGAACATTATATTTGTGTATTTATTGAAGAAAATGATCCTATGTATTTGTGTGTGACAAAAGTATGCAAACCTCTAGGATTATCAGTTCATTTGAAGGGGAAATGAGAGTCAGGGGTTTCAAGCAATGGCAAGATAATCAGGTGTGAGTGTGGAAGGTCCTGCCTTACTTAAAGAACAGAATTCTGGGTATTATGTTTGGCAAAAGGCAAACACTGCATTCCAGCATAAGTTAATGTTTTAGAATGGCCAAGTCCTGACCTTAATCCTATAAAAATGTTGTGGAAGAACCTAAAGCAGGCAGTTCATGCAAGGAAGCCCACCAACATCCCTGAGTTGAAGCTGTTCTTGTAAGGAGGAATAAGCTAAAATTCCTCCAAGCCAATATGCAGGACTGATCAACAGTTACCAGAAACATTCAGCTGCAGTTATTGCTGCCCATGGGGGGCACACCAGCTACTGAAAGCAAAGGTTCACGTACTTTTGCCACATGCAAGTATGTAGCTTTGGATCATTTTCCCCAATAAATCAACGAACAAATACTGTATAATGTTTTTGACTCACCTGGGTTGAGTCAATTGGGTTCTCTTTATCTAGTTTTAGCACTAGCGTGAAGAACTGATCACGTTTTAGGTCTTTTAAGCACTACTGTACATGCAAAACATATCAAGTCACATGTCTGATACCTCACCAAACACAACACTAAGCCAAAGCCAGTCAGCCGTATGATGGCTTAGCACACCCACCAAAGACTCGAAGCTGATGGGGAACTATCCCGATCAGGTCCAAAGGGAGAAACGAGATAGCGGCGTTCCTATTACCCCAACGTAACCCATCGCCGCCCCAAAGCCTCACCCGTCCCTGCTCCTCGGTCGCTACCGGCTCCGCCGGTCTCGCTATCGGACTCGGGCTCGGAATCTTCTGCATAAACCGCCAAGGACGAGAGAACACTTTTTTTCGCCGCAGCCGCCATCTTCCCTTTCGAACTCAATTGAATTCTCTTCCGGCGCAAGTGAAAGGCGTCAGCGAGGCGGTCGCCGGAACCACCGTCCTTTCTTTCGGGACCGCAGTAGTCGCGGCTTAATTTTCCCAACGTTTCCCCTTCGCTTGGGATGAGGAAGAATTCGTGTACTGCTGAGTGTCGTTCAAAACCGACGGAAAGAAGAGCGTTTTTCCCCGAAGTTCCGGCTCTTTAACGGCCTCTTACGTCATCAACTGGCGCTGAAGAGATGCCGAAGCTCCAGGTGCTGCCGGAAAATGAACCCGTCTGAGTTAACCGGGATTCCGGCAGCACGGAGGCCTATGGCGCAAGAATTTAGTTTCGGAGAGCTGGGAAGGAAGAATGTTTAATAGCTAGTTTATGGATGCAGTAAAACATTCCCCCGCGGGGCTGCGGTCTCGAGTGAGTGGTTTTCCTTAGATGGAAAGGGTTGGAGTGGCTGTACGTGGAGATCATTTTTATCCCGCCGGTTTTTAATCCCTAACCCCGAGCAAGGGTCTGAACTCTTCATCGTACCTCTTAATCTGCTAGATTTTCTCTGGCAGATCTGCGCTAGAAAGCAACTTGAGAAAAGTGATAATAAAAGAGGGTCGGGAAATTTAAATTGGTCTCAGAGTTATGTTTCAGTTAAATAGCAATTTGTTCTCAAAGTAATTGCTTTTTTCCCACCCAGAAGGTTAGATATTATATTGGGTGAATTGAAAAGATGCATTTTCTGAAGGCTGATCTGAAAAAGCTAAGCAGAGTTGGCTTAGTTAGTACTTGCATGAACACCACTGAACTATCCCAAGAGCATAGGCTAGACTGGGAAGAAAAACATCCTGGAAGAGAGCTGCTTCCATGTTGCTTAGGAAAATCACATGGAATTGAGCTCCACTTGAAGGAAACTACTGCTTTTAAGGCAGTAATATTCCTTTAAAAATGCTATAGAATTGGAAAGGTTGAATGAAAAGAAGGTTGGGCCGCAGGGAGCAGCAAGGCAGTAGAAGAAGCAGTAAGTATAAGAGATAGTAATCTGCATTCTGAAAAAGGAAGAAAATAGTTAAATTTCTTGTTGCTAGTTTTTTTTAGTTTCTGGATAATGTTCTATCTAATATACTAATAGCTTTGCCTTTCCTATAGGGTGATGAATAGTAAGAACTGTTTTGTATTTTACTAAATCAGAGAATATAACTGGTATATTGATGGTTGTGTAAAAATAAAATGTACCTCATTTTAAAGACAATTGTATTACTGAAATCTGTTATGCCTATACAGGTGATGGTTTGCAGGAAAAAAAATAATTGCATGAAGGTCCTTCCTTACCTATAGTTTGAATTATTCCCAGTATTGGCTTTTAAGATGAGTAACAGCTCTTCCTCAAGACTGGAAGACAGAGTTCGGCAAACTCTGACAAAAGTTTTTGGATTTAACTCTTTCAAGACTTCATTGCAAGGAAGTGCAACTATAACTGTGGTGAAAGGTAAACTGCAAATACTTTTTTTATGACAGAGTATAAAACATGTTTGTGTCCTTAACATGCCATCCAAAGATTCCCAGCTTCCCAAAATATAGCAAATAATAACATTCTATTCCCTGTAACAATATGAAAAGAAGGTGCAATGAAAAAGCTCTGAATATTATAAAAAGACTTTTTCTCTATAGCTGAAAATACAGAAAATCCTTTAGGTTTGTTATTTCATTTGGAGATTTCCCAAGACTATCTCTTAAAATGAGTAACTGAACTTGCAAAATCTTAGTCATAAATAGATTTATCTGGGAATGAACCCCATAACAGTGAAACTGTTTTCTAAGGAAATGAACTGTATTGTCAGTTCCAAAGGTTATGCTAGCTGAGAAGCCATGGAACTGCAAGCCTAATACATCTAGAGAATGCCTGGCTGGTGGTGTGTTTTACATCATTTTCGATGATGCTGGCTTGGCTTCATAAACTGAGATGTGATTTACTACAATTTACACTGAAAGTTTTCAGTTAACTGTAGTTTCCTATTGCACCTGAACTGAAGAACTGTGGACTGGAGTCAGATTTGGTCATTCCTAGAGTAGAAATCAAATAGAACTGTAAGTCATGACTACTTCTCTGATATAGTAGACCATGAAAATCTATGCATCACTTCATCTTAATCCAACAAGCCATAATATTAAATCAATGTTAGCCCTGTGTTACTGGCTGGGAAACCAAGTACCTCGGGTTCTCCCAACGTATCAGGAATTAAAGCAAGTGGAAGTCCAGTCCCATCCATCACCCAGAAAAGGAACAGCTGCAAGCAGCTTGTCCCCCTCCCCTTGTCACAACACTCAGCTCCATCTTCCATTTACCTGCGGCTGCAGTACCAAAAGATAGCATGCTCTGCCAAAAGACTGAGAGCTGGTAGTGTGCATGCATGAGGAGCCTTTTGGACAAAGAGTTGTTTTCTTATAAAGGTAATTTATTATACAGCACTCAGAAGTGCAAATCTCATAGTTCCAGTTACATTTGAGTAATTTCACAGGGATCACATGTAGGATTGAGTGAAACTCATGCACATGTTTCAGCAACACTGGCGAGTAAGAAATGTTCACTGCCATTGGGTTTTGTGACCTTTTAGTGGCCAACATAGAACCCCATTTAAGCAATATCTTGGTGCATGATGCCAGAATCCATTCATTAAAGTTAATCTATGGTACCTTTTTTCTGGACTCAGCGTGAAAAAAGTTGGGTTCTTTCAGTGAACAGCAGAAAGGCATGCTCACACTGATCTAAAGCATTTCTTCTGAATCATTTTCATAGTGTACATAGCTCTAATAAGTGTTACTACAATGCTACAATGTATTGCCTCAGTGTTGTGCTTATATGGATACTATATATATCCTATAAGATTTGATATTCGTATGTATATCCTAGAAAATATTGAAGTTTGGGCCTTCAAAACAGAATCTAGAGAAACTTGTAATTAAAAAAAGAACTTTGAATATTCCATTGTTGCTTTTGCAGGGGAAAAGGATGTCTTTATATGCATGCCGACGGGGGCAGGGAAATCCCTGTGTTATCAACTTCCAGCAGTTTTGGCAACAGGCATCACCATAGTGATTTCACCCTTAATTTCACTTATTCAGGTATCTTCTACAATTATGTGAAAGAAAAAATAAGAGATGCTTTAAATAGAAAAGATCCCCTAGAATCTGCCTTATCTGAAGAGTTCATTAGCTTAATTCAGATCAATAATTACAGATTATTGTATAATTCAGTCTGATGAATGAAAGTAAGAGCCTCTTAATCAGAAGTTCTAGAATTAGCATTTTCTTTGGCCTTCATGGCCACAGTAAGATTATATGTAATTGTTCTGAATTATATTTCTGAATCAAATTTTTGAGATCTTTAGAAGTTTCATGTAAATAAAAATTCAAAGAATTAACCATTTTTTTTGGTCTTTAGTACTGTATTGGATGATACTCATTGTCAACCTTCTTTAATAACCATGTCTAATTAAATAGAGGCAAATCAAATCATTGTATATAATTTCAACCATTTTTGTTTAAGGAATACTTTTAAGAGCATCCCCCCCCTCCAAAAAACCCAAAACTCATATACAGTAAATGTGTTTGAAAACTCTAGATATAGTTGGTGATCATAAATGTCTTCATATTGCAGGAATTTGCTGGTAAGATTCTTTCTGCTAAGTTACCGTTCTCTTTTCTCATAGGACCAAGTGGATCATTTGCTCTCTCTCAAAGTCAGAGTAAGCTCTTTTAATTCTAAGATGTCTGCTCAGGAGAGAAAAGCCATCCTTGCTGACTTGACAAGTGACCATCCTAAGATAAAGCTGCTGTACATCACTCCAGAGATGGCGGCTTCTGCTTCCTTTCGGCCCACCTTGGAGCGTCTAATGTCTCAAAATCTCATCTCTTATCTGATCGTTGATGAGGCTCACTGTGTTTCCCAGTGGGGGCATGACTTCCGACCTGACTATCTGCATCTTGGCTCCTTGCGTTGTCGCATACCCAACACACCATGTGTAGCCCTGACGGCCACAGCTACTAAGCGAGTTCAGGAAGATATTATAGCCTTGCTGAAGCTAAAGCAGCCTGTTGCTACCTTCAGGACACCTTGTTTCAGGCCCAATCTATTCTATGATGTGCAGTATAAAGACCTTTTAGCAGATCCCTATGAAAATCTGAAGGATTTCTGTCTCAAGTCCCTTGGACAGCAAAATGAATTAGGGGTGAGTGAAATCTCTAAAAAAAGGTTGTTAAAGTTTTATGGTTTATCTGTCTTATGTAGAGTCTAGACAACTTACATGCTAAGGCAGAGCTTTGATTGAATCATATTTCCTAAAAATTACTTGCTGCTAGTTTAAAGAGAGGAATGAGCTAAATAGAACACACTTAAGATACCATATGCATCTATTAAGAGAGGATATAATTTTTCCAGTTAAAAATTAGGAACTTAGCTGGAAAATATACTTGTAGCTACATGGACAATACTGTATGAACATTTAATAGGTTCAAAAGTATGCTGTTCATTCAAAAGGATTTATTTCTGAGTAGACATGCATAGGATAATTATTGAAGCAGATTTTTTTCAGATAAATGAGTAAATGATAGCAAGAACAGTATTACAGAAAGAATAAATCTTATGTGTATCTAGGAGGTAACTTGTGACCCTCTAAATTTTCTTGAGTGCTAGATCCCAACAGCCTTCAGCGTTGCCCACATTAACTTGGGCTACTGGAGTAGTTTATTTCACAGCATATGGAGAGCCATAATCCCACTCTCCCACTATTATTTATAGATATACATGAAAGTACATAGGGGACATATATCCAAAAGGTCCCAAAGACAGAATCCAAATTCTGCAGATTTAATTTAGCAAGTGGGAACTTTTTAGCAAATGGAAGTTTGAATTCTTGATTAATTTAATCACTAGCTAGCAGAGTCAGATAGGAGTACAAGGACTACATGCATGAGCACACATATTGTATAAGGTTATCAAAGGTTCTGTAGAATTCTAGCATACTGTGAAGTAAACACAACCTGTGTCACCTTGAGGGAAATAGAATAAATTAATACTATATTTTTGTACGGTCTACTGATCTGGAAGAAAAGAAAGAAAACTAAGGGTTTTTTTTTTTTAAGAATCATTGAGGCATAGTGGTTAAGTGGTTGATCCCAGACTCAAGTCCACACTCAGCCTTTGACATTCTTGGGCCAATCACTGTTTCTACCGCACAGGTTGTTATTACAGAAGAAATTGGAGAAAGGGATGCTATGTATGTTACCTTGCACTCCCAGAGAAAAAGCAGGAGATAAGTCTAATAATAATTAAACAATATAAATACTAAATTAAAATCCAGAGCCACCCAAAGTTGTGTTCTACAAGTTGGGCAGCCATATATATCTTTTAAATAAATCAACATCTACAAAACCTTTTGGAGTTACAAATTTCAATTTTGAAAATAAAAATACTATCAATTTATATATGTATAAACATTTAGGTCTGTAGTTCAGACTGCAAAATCAAATTAAGGGCACATCGCCTTTAGTCTGCAGTGCGTTTGTTTGTTTGTTTGTTTAAAGATTTGTATGGCTGCTCATCTTAAAACACAACTCTCGGTGACTCACAGCAACAGTAAAAACCCTGAACTATAAAAACCATAAACCATAAAACTAGAACCATAACTCTCTTACATACTTTGATTAACACAGTTGCTAGCCCTTTGTAATACAGTGTTACCCAAAACCTGGGCCCATTTCAGTTTAAATTGGATATGGTATGATGCTGCTTTTGTTGCCTGGTTCTTCTGGACTTCTTAGTGGCTTTTGATACTATCAGTCATGGTATCTTTCTGGACCATTTGGTTCCATTCCTTTCTGTTGGGCTGTAGAAAGCAGTACTGGGAAACTGCTGTTAGACACTGAGGTTCTGTTTTCCCCCCGTGCTGTTCACACCTATACGAAACCATTGGGGAAAGTCATCTGAGTCTTCACAGTAAGTGCTGTTAGTATACTAATAATGCTCATCATTCAAATCTGGGTAAGAAATCTGTAAGTTTGAACACTGCGTGTTCAATAATTGGCTGGCTGAGGGAGAAATTAAATCCAGATAAGATGGAGTGGCTATTAGTAACTTGGAACTGGATCTGGATCTGGAGTTGGGTCTGTTCTGGGTAAGATTGCATTCCCCTGCAATAACAATTCTGCAGCTTGAAAGTGCTCTTTGTTCCTCAGCTGTCACTGATGGGAAGTACATAATTAAGTAGGGCACCAGCTTCTTACTGTTTTTTTGCTGGTCAGATTTGACAACATAATTTCCATCTTGGTTACATTCCATCTTGACTATTGCAATATGCTGTATGTGGGGCTATCCTTGAAAAGTGTCTGGAACTTGCAGTTCATGCAAAATGCAGGCTGCTACCCAGTATAAGGTATAAGGATTACCTGATGGCTATTCTGAAAATTCTGCATTGGTTGCTAATTGCATACTAGGCACAATTGGCCCAGTATTAACCTTCAGAGATCTAAAATGTCTCAAGGCCTGACTATTTAAGAGGCATCTCTCCCATTGCAGACCTGTGCAGTGGTTAAGATTTCCTGGAGAGACCATATTGAAGATGGTTGCCCTGACAGAAACTCATCTGTTTGACATCTGGGAGAGTGCCTTTTTCTCCATTGCTCTCAGGCTGTGAAATGCCCTTGAGAACATTTTGTCCATGGTCCCTCAATATTTAGGAAAACTCTAATAACTTTCTCTTTTGCTGGATTTTACTATTAGAATTAATAACTTCATTTTTAATCTAAGCAGAAAGAAAGATATAAATTAAATAAACATGCTATGTTATGCCACAGTTATTCTTCTCCTCTTCCAAGGAGTTCAGGTCAGCATTCATGGTATCAGACTTTTCATTTTTTCTTCATGTAATCCAATGAAGTAGGATAAGGATACAAGACCAGTTGCCATGATTGGCTCAGCATCAGCCAGTGTATTTCTGGGCAAAGTGAGGATTGGGTCTTTCCAGTATTATACTTTATGTTACTGTTAATGGCTCATCATAAAATTACAGTTATTCTACAGGTGGTCCTTGCTTAAAGACCCTAACTGGGACTGGAATTTCTGTCACTAAGCAATGCGGTCGGTAGACAAAACATCACATGACTGCACCGCTTAGCAATGGCAGTTTCAGTAGTCCCAGTTGTGGTCGTTAGGCCAGAACCTCACACTTCTCCTGTCCTGCCACACTCGCCTCTGCTTCAGCTCCCCCCACTTGCTTATCTCCCCCCCATCTCTGCCCTTTTGGCTGCCCTGCACTCTGCTGCTCTGCACACAGTCTTGGGAAGGCCTCGCATGGCCAGCAGCTGCCTCGCAAAGGGCCAGGCCAGGCACACCTCATCAGCACAGGAGGAAGAAGATGGTGAAAGTCAGCTGGGGGCGGCAGAGTGCAGGGTGGTGGGGGCAGCAAGGCAGTAGTGGCAGCGGAGTGCAAGGTGGCCAAAAGGGCAGAGATGGGTGAAGATAGATGGGTGGGGAGAATTGAAGCGTTCCCTGCAGTTGTAAATTTGGGCGGGCTGCCAAGCACCTGAATTTTGATCACGTGGCCACCGGAGTGTTGTAATGGCCATAACTTCAAGGACTGAGCATAAGTACCATTCATTCAGTGCCATTGTAACTTTGAATGGTCGCTGAACAAATGGTCATTAAGCTAGGGCTACTTGTATAATAATTCCTTTGGCACTTTGGATCTATAGTTTAGAAAACTTGTGTGTTTCTAGAACCCCCTTCTGTCACATTTAGTTGGCATCACTGTAGGTTGCCAAACTTTCTATCAAAGTCAAAGTAATAAGGAAAGTGTGGATTATGTGAGGTGATGGAGAGGAGAGAATATTACCATAGAGAACTGAGAATTGGCCCTCTATAAGGATGACTGGAGTCAGAGAACATAAACCTTGTCTACTTGTAGTCTTTTTCTGGCTTGAGTGTTTATTGTAGCAGATATTGTACAGACATTTGTACAAATTCTGCTTTTGTTTGGAAGGAGGAAAACCAAATAGAAGGTTCATGGGAAGAAGAATGTTTAAAGTCATATATTTCTTTGTAAAAGGCTTCTGAATAAAATATGTATAGTGTTAACCATGAGTTTTGAAAACCATAAGTTTTAAAGCATTTGAAAACTATTATCTTTTAGTACCTCATATCTGTAGTATAAGTGGACACCTGTAGCATAAGCATTGTTGGATTATGATACTAATGTTAGCTTCTTTCTCTTACTCTGTGCAGGGGTATCCTGGCTGTGGAATTATCTACTGCAGGATGAGAGATGCTTGTGAGCGAGTGGCTGTTGAACTAAGCAATAGAGGAGTAAAAGCCAAGGCATATCATGCAGGTAATGAAAGCTGTGTTGCTTTCCACTCCAAGCAGTTATTTAGTATGCAAAAATGTTACGTAGCCTTTATTCTGGTGTTAAAGAGGACTGGTCATAAAATGCAGTTACTACAGATTCTGATTCTTCTCTCCTTTCTTTTTTAAATTTTTGGCAACATTTGCACATCAAATTTGCTGAATAGAGTCCTTCCCAAGACAAAGGTACTGCTATCTGGATTAATAATGAATGAAAGTTTCAGTGGTTTAATAAGTTCATACAGTCCGGTCCTACTATTTGAGGTCTGCCTTTCTATATGGAAGTTGGGAGCTGAATCTTGATGATTCTAGTGTATCTTAAGGGGCGGAGGGAGCAACAGTGTGGTTGCTCAGGGACTGCCCTGAGCAGGACAGTCATCTCTGCAGGGGGCAGGCTCAAGATTTTCAAAGCCCATATTAGCTGCCTCTAAAAGGGGTAAGAAATGTCACGCTCAGATTAGGAACTGAGATGTCCAAAGTGAGGTGTGGACTTGGATATTGATGATTTACCACTGGATGAAGATCTAGTTTTCATGCCAGGTTTATTGCCTTTTGTTTTTATAGATGTTTATCTTTCAAATTGGCAAAGTACAATAGAACAAATACAAGCATAACGGTTATTGGCAGCATTTTTAATAACATTGGGACATAAACAAGCCAAACAAACATTATCTCAAAGTTTAAATGCTGTGGAGCCTCAGACTGAAGTCAACAGGTTGTCGCAAAGCAATTAGATTGGAAAGAGTACTTGGGAACTTGCAAAATATTTAAATATTCTTATCTTTCCTAGGTAAGAATTTTTAAGGGCTAGGTAGAACATCCTTCCCTCTACGGTTTTGCACAGCAGGCATTCTAAAATCCCATTAGCTAAGTGCACCTGTCCATGCAGATTTAAGGAGACAAACAGATTGTAGTCTACAGTGAGCAAGGACAAATCTGAAAAAGGGGCAAATCTGAAAGAGGGTCATAAGGATAAAAAAATTAATTGTTTATGTTTATAACTTTGCTTTACAAAGGAAGATTCAAGAGCAAAACCAAGAAAAACTTTACAAAAATGCATATTGTAATAGAAAATATCTAAAATCAAATAGTATATGTAAATTTATTTTAAAAAGGCAATTCAATTTCTGTATTTTTCACATGAATATGAAAGACTGTGCATTAAGTGGTACCATTTGTACAGTAAAAGTTAAATGACCAAAATAAAGGACAAAAGTGAGTTTTTGAAAAATAAATCTAAAGGACTATCCTTTATAATAAAGGACATATGGTCATTGCAACTATACTGCAACTTCTATAGTGTAAAGGTACTTGGAATACAGGTAGTCCTCACTTAACCACCATTCATTTAATGGTGGTTCAAAGTTATGACAGCCTCGGAAAGGGTGCTTTACAGCCCACAAAGCTCTTCGGCCATCATGAAATGTTGCACCGCCCCCCGCAGTCACATGGCCGCATTTCGGGTGTTGGCAATCGGCTTGCATTTATGACTAGTTGCCAAGGACCCTGTGATCATGTGATCACCATTTGCAATCTTCTCTGCCAGCTTCCCCATTGAAAGCTGGCAGGGAAGGTTGCAAGCAAAGGGGATGTGGCAGTGTGCAGGAACGGAGCTCAAATCCTGAAGATTTCAGCTCTGTTCCTCCAGCCCCACCAAGGATTTCCCCTCTATTCACAGAGGGGAGGGGAAACCCCTTGGTGGTGTGAAGGAATGGAACTCAATTCTGAGGATCTTCAGGATTTGATCTCCGTTCCTTCCCACTGCCAAGGGGTTTCCCCTCCCCTCTCAGTGGTGTGAAGGAACAGAGCTCAAATCCTGAAGACCGCCAAGAAGTTTCCCCTCCCCACTCAACGGTTCCTGCACACCACTGAGGGGTTTTCCCTCCTCACTCAGTGGTGGGTAGAAACGGAGCTCAAATCTTCAAGATTTGAGCTCCGTTCCTGCACATTGCTGAGGGGGTTCCCCTCCCCAGTCAGCAGTGGGTAGGAACGGAACTCAAATCTTCAGGGCAAACCCTTCAACGGGCTTTAGGAATGTTTGAGACAAAACAAGAAAAGAATTCTATCACCCTGTAATTAATAACATTTAATTTGAATGTAACCTTGTTCCTACTATTTGTCCCTTATTTGTCTCCACTTGCTTTTACACAGTGCTTGCTTATTGCATACATGAAGCTATCAACATATGATGCAATTAGGGAAGGTTTTGTTTATCAGCCAGCTTGTTGCAGAACTCAACACTGATGAGGGCTGAGAAGGAAAATTTGCAAAGTTGCTGGCTTCTATGCCCAAGGGAGGACTAGAAACTAGGTCTTCCAGCTCCTTAACCATTACACCACAGTAAATCTTAATATTTCTTACTGTACTTGAAGCATTGGCTTCTCTGTGAATTTTCTTCCAGAATGTTCTAGGATGAGACTTTTTAAGCAAAAAGCTGAATGTCCTACTCTTCTACTTAGTTTCCTGAGATGAAAATGAGTCAGATTTGATGGCCCATCTGCAGACTACAAGATGCTGTTCCAACATGCATTTCATGACATATCAGTATAAGAAAAGATGGATAAACGGATTCAAAAACAAAGTTCTGAATGTAGCAGACACTCTTTCTGTTGATATTGCACTATTGTCTTTCATTTTTTCATAAGGGCTGAAGGTAGTAGAGCGAACCTCAATTCAAAATGAATGGATGGAGGAAAAATTTCCAGTTATTGTTGCTACTATCAGTTTCGGAATGGGAGTTGACAAAGCCAATGTCAGGTATGTGCAAAATCATCACAAAGAGGCCAAACATACTATTTGTGCTGGTTTATATTTTTTCAATATCTGGAAGTATATGTCTTTGCTTCTTTTTATGTAATAAGAAAGGGACAGGGAAAAAAATCATAATCTGGTCTAGATTTATTGTAGTTATGCTGGCCTTTATATGTATATATTTTTTAAAATTTTAGATGTATCTCATGTAATGATTTTATTGGTTTACATCTTACAGATTTGTTGCACACTGGAATATTTCAAAATCAATGGCTGGATATTACCAAGAATCAGGAAGGGCAGGGAGAGATGGGAATACATCCAGCTGTCGTCTTTATTACTCTCAAACTGACAGAGAGCAAATCTGCTTTCTTATCAAGAAAGAAATTACTACACTTCAGGTAAGGGCTTGTGTGGTATTGCTTAGGGAAATTCTTTTATTTGCTAAATCCACTATTCGTATCTAGTAATCCTTCATTTACAGTGGACTGTATGTTGTAGCTCATGTTTCAACCCTCACAGGAGCAAATTTAATTTTGTACTTGAATAAAACAGGCAAGATACATCTTAGTACATACATGACAATGTAGAGCCTTTCAGATTTCACTGCTTCCACTGTGTGAAGGTGGTAGTTGTTTTGTTTGTTAGCACAACAAACAGAATATAAACAGAAAGACAAACCCAATACACAGATAGGTTTTTACTGGTAACTTGCAGGCTATATCAAGAATAAGGAACCACTCTCAAACACACAGTTGGCTCCTTTTATATGCACATTCTATTCTACTGACAAGTAATACATTACAACTCATAATGTTTTTTTTCAAGGTACAAAATTTCCATATTGTACTGACTTACATTTCACTCCACCCCTTTATGTCACTATTGGCTGTATTCCCTCCAAAATCAGATTATTGCCCTTTTTCAGCAATGTTCTGACCAGTTGTAATTTCTTCTTTATTCTGCACTTGATCAGAGATAGCATAAGATCTTTCATCTTTCCTTAAATCCTATCAATTTCTACAAAAAACTATTCCTTCAGCCGTTTGTAAAGAGTAGGATCTAGCAGTTTGATGGTTTTTTACAACTTGGGCAGGTCCTCACATTTCATTATGTCTAAGATATACATGATCTCCCACACCCAAAGGTGGTAAGGGCTTAGCCCCCCCAATTATAATAATAAACTCTGTTTTTCTTGTCTCTGCTTCAATTGTTCATACACACCTCTGCAGTCATTTTGTGAGTTTAATAAAACACTAGATGCTGATAATCTGGTTTGCCAACATTTTCCCATCAGTAATTGTGCTGGTGATTCATTGTCCAAAATAGGAGTATTTCTATAAGCTAAAAGACTCAAAAATCAGAACCATCCAGCGTTAGTTTCTCTAACATTCTGTTTGCAGCCTGTATAGTTGTTTTTGCCATCCCATTTGAGTGGGCATAATACAGACCAGAAATACAGTAGTATGCTTCAAGTCCTAATTTTTTGCAAATTGTCTAAATTCCATTGAACTAAAGTGTAGTCCATTGTCTGTTATGACTTCTTCAGGGATTCCACATGTTGGGAAAAGAGACTTAAAATACAGATCACAGTCTGATTAAATGAATTTTTTGAACAAACTTCCAGAAATTAATTTAGAATAATAGAGGTAGTCCTTGGGTTACAATGACAATTGGGACCAGGATTGCTGTCATTAAGGGATGCGGTCATAAAGTGTAACGCCACGTGACTGCATTGCTTAGTGACAACAATCCCAGCAGTCCAGGTTGCCATCGTAACCCCAAGACACGGGTCATTAAGCAGGAAGTAGTGGGAATCCCAGGTGAGGAGTGTGGGGTGCCGCGAGGGGGTGGGGGAGGCCCTGGGAGGCCCAATGCAGGCCATACGCAAGTGCAGGGAGGCCAAGGGAAAGCAAGATGCAATGCCGCATTAGTGCAAGGAGGCCAGCGAAAAGCAGGGTGCAGTGCCATGCAAGTGCAAGGAGGCCAAGAAGACTTACCAAAGTGGCTTGTGATCTTTTCTGCTGGCTTCCCTGTTGACTTTGCTTGTGGGAAGCTGACAGGGAAGGTCGCAAATGGTGATCACGTGGTCAGTAAGTAAGGACTACCTGTAATCCATCACTACAAGATAATTTTTTCTTTGAAATTCAAATATATCCATACCTAATTTCTGTCAAGATCTCATAGGCAGTTCATATTTTCCATTGCTTCTTTATAGTTCCAGATTCCTGCAAGCTGGACAAATCTTACATACTTGTACCATTACCTCTATTTGAATATTCATGTCTGGTCAAAAGACAACATGTTTAGCCTCTTATACAGTTCATTGCCTACATTACAGTCATGTATTTTTTTTTTCAAGATCTCACCTTTCTAATACTATCATTTTTTTAAAAGTAAATTTCATGGGCACTCATCTCCTGTCTATAATTCCAACATATTTCTGTATCATCTTCAATTTTCTTTTCTTTGCTGAAGCCACTGTATCAAAATAATTTTATTTAATAATTTAAGGTCTTATAATTTAATGTAGCATCTTTAAATTATTTCAGTTTTCTCTCAGTCATAGGCAAATAAGACATCAACATATGTAATGCAACATCAGAACCAATGAATCCAAACATAATTCATTGCTATTATTTAAAAAAAAACCTGTAGAGAGAGCATCTGCAATTGCCAATTTCTTTTCTGACTTATAAACTACTTGCAATTGATATTTTTGCCAATTAGTAACCATCTTTGGATTCTTATAGGTTCACTGTACAATAATTTCTTAAAAGTAGCTGTCAGAGTTTTATGACCAATCTCTATTAAAACTTGTGTTCCATAAATGAACTGATGAAATTTTGTACATCCCAAAACAATAGCCAACAATAGTTATATGATAATTTTTTTTTTTTGTGCTTTATTCATAGCTTTAGATGCATAGGCCAAGGAAATCTACCACTGGTTTTGTCACATCATAATATTTTCATATAGGTGCAGTTGTCAATAATTCTTTCAATTTATTAAATACATCTTCATGTACTGGCATCCAGGGAAATTCCATATCCTATAACAACAGCTGCCTTAATGGAGTTGTTAGAGTAGCCATTCTTCGAACTAATTTTGCCAAATAATTAGCCATACCTAAAAATTTCTGTAGTTCTATTTTATTTTTTGGGCTTGGGATGCTAATAATAGCTTAAATCTTTGTTTCACCAGGTTTCACGCCACTAGAAATCAGCGTATGTCAAATATAAACTTTTGTTTATTTAACTTCAAATTTCTTTCCAGTACGTATCTCTCTTACCATGTTCCCGTTTATCCTGACCCTATATCAATATATCATCAATAAAACACAATACTCTTTCTAAACCTTCCAGAATTTGCAACTCAGTATGGAGTTTGTATTACTTTTTGATATACTTCTGAAGCTGAAGAGATATCAAATGGTAAATGCTTGAATTGGTCCCTTCCAAAAGGTGTATTGAATATACACAGCTGTCATCTAACTGAATTTGCCAAAACCCATTGCATGATCTAGGACAATAAACAACTGGGCTCCCACTAAATTAGTCAGTCATATAATTGCCCAGTCTCGCAAGAATATGCTAAAAATTTTAACTCTATTATGGAGGCGTTAATATCTTCATCTCCCCTTTGTTTCTTAGTTAAAATTCTTTTGAGGGACACAGTGATTTCCAGTTTCTCAAATAATACCTGCAGGTTCTGCTTATCAGACTGTTTATTTTCAAATTAGAACGTATTAAACACGTTACCTCCTCCCTAGCAAGATGCAGAATGAAGCTGTCTGTGGTTTCCCGTTCTTTTTGTTGGCTCTACTCCCCACACAGTACAGCTCGAATACAGCTTTGTTTCCATCTTCTCCAGTTTTTTTATATATTTCCCAAAAAACTTACATGGAAGCTGCAGCTGATTCATGGCTTCATGGTACCATCCAAAACTTTTTCTATGGATTTCTAACACATATTATATTTCTTAGCACAACAAACATAGGAAATATGCAGATAGACAAATCCAATATGGAGGTAGGTTCTACTCTTTACAAAAGTAAAGAGCACACACATAGCTGGCTCCTCTTATTTATTCACAAGTAATATGTTGCAATTGATAGTAATAGTGAGATAAAAATGTGAGAAGACTTATTTGCTGCATTCTTATATGGAGGGGAGGTATGCCCGCAAAAATTATGATTTCAGATTGCTACAGTACTTTTATAGAGTTTAAATAAAATGCATGTTTGTTTATAGCACCATTATGCAATTAAAGATAATGTGATATTTTTGTGAATGAATGGTTTTCTGAATTCAGTGCTTCAGGACAGATAGCTTTGTTTATATAGTTTTATATTTCCTCAGGAGAAACGAGGTGCCTTGAAGGAGTCTGATAAAACTGTGATGAAAGACTTTGAGGCTATGATCGCCTTCTCTGAAAATCTTGGGTAAGTATGGCCGGGTGCTTAGATAGGATGGATAAATGTCTGTTGGCCTTTGGAGGCTTTATCTTCTGTGCTACAGATACATAATGTGGTAATTTATTATTTGACAAGATGGGTGGAGCCAGGGTGGGGCTGGTAGCACAAGGGGCCTATGTTCTACCAACTTTTTCTTCAGAAGATCTGTGAGAAGCCTGCTCTCTATGTTATCATTTTTGGAACCTTTTCTTCTTTGAAAAAAAAAAAAGGAGGGTATGAAGCCTAATCCTCAAGTATGAAGCTTGAGAATGAAAAATTAATGTTCCTAATGTAAAACAGTAGCTGCTATATTCAGTAATTACTGCAGAAATTACTGCAGAATTGTACTAAACAGAATTCTGTATTTAAAATAAATTGTGCTGTTGGAGCCATGAGGAACTTACTTTTGCAGTGAAGACAGTAACATATAGGTTGCTAAATATAGGAAAATATAGGTATGTCTGTAATCTAGAGTGCCACTGTTTGATTTCTAGAGAGCATTTTATGTATTTTTGCAGGGGAAGAGACACAGAAGCCAGGCAATAATGGTAGACAGTCATAATATCTCTACTCTACCCACAGGACTTAGTGTTCCTAATGTAAAACAGTAGCTGCTATATTCAGTAATTACTGCAGAAATTACTGCAGATTTGTGGGTAGAGATATTTTCTTACCTAGTTTTGATGGGTGTGACTGAAGGTTGACCTTAGGACTGTAATAAAGAGGTTCACAAGCTTTTTCTGGATCTGTACCTTCATTCAGTTGAAGATACAGCATGATCAGTGATAACAAATTGCATACATTTACAGAGCGCTTACAAGTTTGTTAACTTCCTTCATATTAAGATAGAATAAGAATAAAAAGTCAAGACTTTGTGACTATATAGTTGCACTTGCATAGTTATTTTGGCAATTTGCATAGTTATTTTGGCAATAGTATGGCTTGCTGTTGTTTTCTTCCAGGATTTTTTTTCAACTTCCCAATCTAACCTGACAGCTTCAGATTTCAATAGAAGAGAACTTTTCTTGTCTCTGTAGCTGCTTCAGGGTCATTTTTTCTCCTATTCTTGAGTGGTCCTAGCAATTCAAGGTTACATACTGGTTGGGATGGCATTGGATATGTACTATTTTAATCAGATTTGGCTATGTACTGAATGAATGGCAAATGAGGCCCATTTAGAATGAGAAGAATCTTTTCATTGTTTCCTAGCTATCCATAATAGCTCCAAATGTAGGGGCATTATCAGTGTTGGTGAAATTTTTCATGAAATCAACATTTGCCTGGCCCTGTGTTGCTCAGATGTAGCATCTAAGTACCTGTGGAAGATAATCTACCTTGTCTATGTAAGGATACATATGTATGTTGTATGAAAAATATTACAGCATATCTACTTGGACTACTGACTAAATTGTATAAAGGGTTAGGGCTATTTTTTTATTTTAAAAAACAATTTGATTTTTTTGTTAATAACATTGATTTTAGATGTAACAGATGCTGGAAACTAACCAACTCTCAGGGCCTTTAACAATAAAAGTTTAGAGTAACATATGATTAAATAAACTGCTCGCTAGAGAAAAAAGTTAAGTATATTGTCTTTAGAAAAATTAGAATATAAGACATAATCTGAACCATTGTCTAAAACTGACTGCTACTTTTTGAATGATTAAATGTAGAATTCTGAGACCACAGCTATTTATTAATGAATTTTCCATTGCTAACAGACACTATCCTTGAATCAAAAACAGAGCAGAAACATGGTCGTTTAATGTAGGTTTCATTTGGAGTCAGCCCTCAGACAGTGACTGGTTACCTGGCTCAGCAGCATCAGTTTCTTCTCTGCTCCATTCATTTCTAAACTCAAAATATAAACAGCAAGAAGAAGCAGCTCTTAATACTGCTTAGTCACTCAGCACTGTAATTCAAATTCTGTAAAGGGGGGTGATCTGATGATTTACACAGAACCTAGTTTATTCCTTTGAGTTGAACAGCAGCCAAAGATCAGAGCAAACAAAATGAGGACAATGATGATAGTGAAGAATGAAACCATCACCACCAGTCCCCCAAGAGCCCAGTCATCTGTCAGAATCCGAGTTTTCACATCTTCTAGAAGTTGCTTTGCAGCTGGCATTGTTTCCAGGCCCTGAAGAATGCAAGAAATGAGATGTACATGTATACTTATTAATTGACAATGCTTTAAAAGCATTTTTCAGTCAAAATATTTCCAGGATGGCTAGCAAATAATAAAAGCACTAAGCAGAGATTGCTAGAGGAATAAGGTCACTAGATACAGCTACAGCAAAGCTAAAGGACTTTTGAATTACAGTACATGCTACCAGAGGAATGCTGCCCATCTGTCTTTTGCAATAAATAAATAAAGCTTCTCTATTTAAAGCCTTACAAGGGACTAAACATTTAAAGTTGGTGAGAGTCAGAGGTTAGGGCTTGTAGAAATCATCAGAGGCTCCCTTAGTTCCTCCCACTGAATCAAAGCTGGATACTAAAGGTTAAAAGTCTGGAGAAGTAAAGATATCTTTGGTGCTGAGAAAGACAAGTTTCGGCTTCTTGTTACTTTATACTGCTGTTGGTTTGTCAGAAATGCAGCCTGGTATAGAAAGATATTTTGTCCTAGTAATTGTTTTGGAGACCCAAAATAGTAATGTACATATTTGTATGCTTGTATAAATATACATATAATATTTTATAGAGAATGAATTGCCGTGTTTTGTATTAGATTTATGTGAAGTATTTTTGTATTCTGGAAGTCAAGTCCCACTTTATTATCTACCTTCAGGGGCTTCTATTGGTTGTACTCCTGTCCAGCTTGCCTTTCACTGAGTAATGTTAGCCTTCCGTTGATGACTTTAGTGCCCAAAGGGATATTGAAACAGAAAAAACGATTAACTTTATTTATTTACTATTACATTTATACCTTTCCTTTAGACTTGTATAGACACTCAAGGTGGCTTACAATAATTACAAATATAGAAAATAGTAAATATAGTAGCAAAATCAATCTAATTAAAATCAATTAAAGTCGGAATACAAATATCATTAAAACCAATTAACAATGAAAAGCTTGACCACAGAGATGCATTTTTGCCATTTTCTTCGTTATTGGGAGAGGGGGCCAAAGGTATCTCCTTTGACAGTGAGTTTTGTAGCCTGCGAGCCACATAGGAGAAGCCCCTCGCCCATGTACTAAATGGTTAACAATTTAAGTGCAAGTAGCCTGCCTGAGAAATCTAGGTATCCAAATAAAGTTTTTAGATGTTTAAGTAATTCTTCATTGGAAATCTTAAATATTTACTTTCATTCCTTTTAACAGTGTATGCGAAAAGATATTTAATCTTGTTGCTTGCAACATACCTAGCTAAGGTGCAGAACATGCTGCCCCATAATATTATGGTGGTCATAGCATAAATCAGTGTGGTCCAAACTTGGCCACTTTAAGATGAGTGGACTTCATCTCCCAGAATTCCCCAGCCAGCATCCCGGGTCCGGCGGGTTTGGGGGAGGAAGTACGACCTCCTCTAAGTTGGGAAGAGAGAGGCCACGCA